TACTGATGGTGGCTGTCGGCCATTGATAGTGGCTGTCGGCCACTGATGGCCTGGACTTCCTTACTTTGAAGCAAAGCTCAAGTTTAGGCACCAAACCAAGCTAAAACCACTTGCTAGAGCTCAAAGAGGGTCTCAAATAACCTCAGCCCAAAGAGAAGCAACTTTGATTAAGGTAGTGTATGTAAAAGTGTAGAGAAAACAAGTAACTAAGCACAAAATTGTAAGAGAGAGAGAGAAATTTAGAAAGAGAGATATTTTTTGTTCCAAAGTTTTTAACCCTCCAAAATGGGGGAAGAACCCCCATATATATAGAAAAACAAGCCTTGAGCTTAGAAACATCCTACCATACACGTGTAGGGAGATGCAACTCAGTGTGCTAATAGCTGTCATAGCTGTCAACAAATATCTGGAAAAAGACACGACGACTACCACTTGTAGCTGATTGGCCACCACTGGTGGCCGACAACCATGAGCCATGGCCGACAATCCATGGTGGTGGCCGACAGGTCACCAAGAGGTCCAGACACCAAGTTTTGGTCCAAAACAAGGCACAAAATGGACAAGCCTTAAAGGCTCAAAGGCAGGGCGTTCCGTCGAGGATTTCGAGCACTCAAAATGAACACATGCAATCACAATCATCATATGCACAAGTGATGACGTCCAAGTCTCGAGGACAGTCCAAAATTGGGTGTCTACAGTACATACTCAAAACAATTTTCAAACCAAACATGAAATCAAAAATGTTTCAACTTTTGCAAATTAGTCTATACTTGTGTGCATCAAATAGTAACGATAGCCTAATAATCGAAACAAGAGCATATAATGTAAATAAGAATTATATCATGATTAGTAGAGGCCGATCTTTGATCGAGCGAGAGGGGTGCTCAATTCATGACCTTTTCCTCGCGTACCTAAGTTTCCGAGTTGAGACAACTTTGGTGATGACGGACTAATGGGCTGTGGCACGAGTCTTGGGTTTCCTAGATTTCCCAAAAATATTTAGGTGGTGACTTTGAAATCTGGCAAAGCAATCAATTTTTGGCATTTTATTCAAAACATTGATTTCCAAAAAGAATTGTCGGATTTGGACTTTTTTTGTGTTTTTATTGTTTCACATTGCACTTGTGAAATCAGATTCAGAACCACAAGTAGAGTTCAAACTGTAGGGCTGTTCGTCTTCTGAAAAGCGGCATGAAAAGTTGAGCTACAGTAGTCCTGAACTACAACGTTATTTGGAAAGCCCGTTAGTGGATGATTTTAATGATTTTGACAATTTGGAATGGTGGAAACATTATGAAATTATGTGGCATGTGGTTTCACAGATGACGTGGGATATACTAAATATTCTTATTTCTACAGTTGTTTCAAAAACAGCTTTTAGTGCAAGTGGACGGGTGTTGAGCTATTACTGCAGCAAGCTTTCACTCCAACTGGTTGAGGCACTGATGATATCCATAGATCATATATATACACTTACGAGAAGACAAAATTATAGTGAAAATGAATGAATTCAAAATAATTTTGACATATCCTCGGGCAACATGACTGAAATGTTTGTCTCCTTCGATGATTGATCAACCATTTTTTTTTTATTGTTTCATTTCGTTTTTTTTAATTAGATTATTGAGGTGGAGTATAATGCAAATGATTGGTAGGTTAGTAGGTACCAATATAGTTGGGATGTACTTGACCTATAGTGATGCAATTGTTCTACCTTCATCAATAATGTACACCTATTTTATTTAATCATATAAAATTTTGTAATATTTTATTTTATTTTGAAATAAAAACTATTCATTCAATAAATGTTATATAATTAATTTAATATTATAAAATTGAAAGTTTTATTTTCATATATAAAAAATTATTCATTTCAAAAGAAAAAAAATTATATAATTGCATATTTTTTTAGTTATAACTTCATAATTAAATTTAAATACCACAATGAAACATAACCAAACAAAAATCTCATTAATTTTAACTAAAATATTTTTATATAATTTTTCTTTTATTTTTTATTCCTAACAAATAATTTACATAAATAATGTATTTATCGTTCATTTTTTCGAAAAAAAAGAGACTCGCATGGCCTTAAGCTCTATCGTGAGTGGACATGGACTTAAGACTAAACCTTGATTTTCGGTCTATGTGTCGACCTGTTAAAAAACAGAAGCTCTTGAGACCCGCTCGGGCTGGCCCGAACCCGGATCGGATGGGTCGGACTGGACCATTATTACATCCCTAATGGGAATTACACAGAGTCAGTGAAAATTATTTACTAAAAAATAACATAAGAATAATTATAATTATTAATATTTATAATTTCCCCAAACAAAATGCAAGTCCCAGAACTCTCCTGCTCTCTTCACATAAACCCTAGCCCTTGATTCGATTCAGAGAGTGATTTGGCTCG